GTAAGTAAAATTACTTTTATTTATTTATTATTATTATTATTATTATTACGTTTGTTGTTGTTCTTAAGGATGATTTTAATAATAATAATAGTACGATGGAGTCGAAATTTAATAAAAAAAATGGTGGAAAAATAAAAGTTTGTTTGTTTGTTTATTTATGGGTATGGTAAATTCCAAACTAATTGTAAATCTATAATTAAAATTTACTATTATTATTATTATTATCCACCATTAAACACGACAAGGCTACTTGTCGGAGTTTTTAAGTATTTATCCGAGGTTTCTACCCGATTCCTTAGGGACAAATACTCGAATTTCGGTGGTGCCACTTATTATAAGATAGCACCACATCAATTCTTGAAGGTCTTCCTGAGTCCATCTTTATTTGATGGGAACGATTTGTCTCCTGAACTGGGCTCCAGTGACTAACATCTTTGGAGTGGCCAGGGTCAGAAGCAGTGAAATTCACGTTCTCGTCGAGCTGCCTCAGGTCGACAGTAGAACAAGATTTGTTTTTTGGTTCTTACTTTGTCTTGTTCTCATTTTTTTTTTTTTTTTTTTTGCTCTTTTAAGCCAACAGCACGTGGCGTTCTCAAACGGTCACCCATCCAAGTTTGCACCACGCCCGATGCTGCTTAACTTCGGTGATCGTACGGGAACCGGTGTGACCAGCACGCTATGGCCGTTGGCTTTTATTATTATTATTATTATTATTATTATTATTAATTTTATTTTCCTGGTAATAATAAATGACTGTTTTTAGTGTGTGTATATTGAATATTATTGTAAAAAAAAAAATTTCATCAAGGATTTCCTCATCGTTATTAATTTATCGAATTCTTGTGTGAAGTCAATGAAATTCATTTCGAAATTTTTTTTTTTTTTTCTCAATTAAAACGAAAAAGGGAAATTACTATTATTATTATTATTATTATTATCTGTCGAGGGGGGTGGAGTGAGTGAGGGGGGTGTGGGGGGGGGTGGGTGGGAAATCCACGTAAGCGAAAATAAAAAAAATAATACGTTTAATTCGAGTAGTATGCTAATGTGGAAAAATTAAAATGCTGGTGATTGATTGATTGATTGATTGATTGATTCGAAAAAGAATAAATAAATAATAATGATAATAAAAATTTTTTTTTATTGAGAGATTTAAAAACCCTCCTCCTTCCTTTTTACTGCTGCTCCCCCCTCGTGCGTTCACTTGTTGAATGAACCATCTCTGACATTTCTCCCATTTGCGACCATTCTCCATCTCTCTCTTTTTTCTCTTCGTCTTCGTCGTCGTGAAATCTGTTTTCCCCTAAAAAAAAAAAAAAAAAAAAAAATTAAACATAAAGTTTGTGCCACGATTTTAACGGTTTTAACATTCTTCTTAAAATTTGAAAAAAAAAAAACAAAAATTGCTTATTATAAGTTGATGCATGTTTTAGGTAAGTTAAACATATGAAAAATAAATCATTTAAAATGTTTTTTTTTTTTTTCAATTCGTAATTTTTTTCGTGGAACTTGCTTGATCAATTCTTCACATATACATATAATTTAAAAGGTTTTTTTTTTTTTTTTAAGAATTTTTAATAAATCATTTTTATTTTGTAAAAAAGAAAAGAAAGAAAAATGATCAGGTTTTTATTAAATTTTAATTTTATAATAATAATAATAATAATAATTATATAATCGATTCGTATTAAAATTTATTTATTTATTTTTTTTTTTAAATTATAAGATAACTATTGAAATCGATTATTATTAATCTTGTTTATTTTTTGATTTTCAATTTTTTAAGATTCTTCTCATAAAAAAAAAAAATTTCATAATGATTCAAAACAATTGCTAAGAAAAAGATAAAACAACGCATCAGTTTTTATAGATAAACGACATTGAACAGGCTGTGTGTGTGTGTGTGTGAGGCTACCTTGGTCTCTTTTTAAAAATTATTTTTAACTCAAGTAAGTTAATTGTTTTTTTTTTTTTAAATATAAATATAGAGTAAGTATACAAAATTATTATTATTATTATTACTTTTTACCATTCAAAATATTATACAGTTACAAAACATTTCAATAATTATCTTTTCTTTTATGGTTATTTTATTATTTTTAAGACATTATTTAACCAAATGTGACATTTTTGTTTGTCGAGAACAAATTGTTTTGTTAAATATTAATCAATTTTACCTAATCAAATGTAAAAATGTTAAAATTATTAACTGACAATTAAATATATTTAGTTTTTTTTTAAAATTATCTTGTCAATATTTAATTATTACATCAAATCGATTAGTTTTTATTAATTTTTTTTTTACATATACTAAAGTAATTGTCTGACTGATTTTAATACATTTTTAATATCGAATACAATGCAATGACCAAAATGATTAACAATATATTCAAATGATAAATTCAATCGAGTAAATCACATCATAAACTAATTTTTTTTTTTTTGGTTTTTTTTAGTCGAGTAAAAACATGTCTTACTATCCACCACCACCAGATCAGGGAAATAATTTTTCAGTCGGTTATTATCCTCCACCAAATCAAGGATATGGTCCAGGTCCTTATGGAAATGCTCCGAGTGGAGATTATAACAGACCAATACCATTTCCGATTGAACCTCCTGGAATGATGTCACCTCCTACTGGATATCCTATGCCAATGCAAGGATATGATCAAGGATATGGTAATTTGAGTAAAATATTTCAATTTGAATTCACAGTTTTTATTATAAATTGGGTTATTTATTGTCGATTATCGGTGACACTCCATAAAGATTTATCACATTCAGTTGTTTTAGCATTGATTCATATGAAAGCGGTTCGAGTAATAACTCAAAGCGGTTCAACATCTATAAAATTTATCTAATCTTATTTGTTATTCTTTTTTCTTTATTGATTAAAATTTTTTATCAGTTAAAAACTGATGAAAATATATAAGAAGAAGAAGAATTTTAAACAATAACCACATAATATTTGAAATAAAGCCAAAAAAATAAATCAAACTCGATTGTGGAAATTCCAATAACATTAATTCATTATTATTATTATTATTAATCATTTCGACAAATATTATTTTACAATTTTAATTACAGTTTTTATTGATGTAAAGGAAAAGAAAGAAAAGGGAAAAGCAAAAAAAAACTTTCACGTGAATCATTATTCTCATGACGTCATAAATAATTTTTTTATTCATTTATTTATTTATTATTATTATTATTGTATAGTAAAAAATTAAATTGAAATTTAATTTAAATTATTAAAATCATTAAGGAAAAGGAAAAGGAGAGGAAAAAGAAAATGAATAATTTAGTTTTTTTTTTTTATGTTTCATTCGACTGCAAGACTTTAATTTAATTTAAACTAATAATAATAATAATGATAATGATAATAATAATTTTAGTAATCATAACCCATGATTTCATTGAATGTGTTCAATTGTGTGATGTGACTCCCTTCATGTTCTCTTATTTAGATAATTAGGGTCATTTTTTTTTTTTTTTTTTTATAAATTCGAAGGCGTTTCATTTTATTAACATTTAAATTAATATTAATTTCCCTTTTTCTCCCCTCCCCCTCCTCCTCCTCCTCCCCCGAAAAAAAAGTATTTAACGGACTTGGTGGTAGTTTTTTAGTCAAGTTATTAATTAATTGTTTTTAAATTTAAATATAAAATTAATTAATATTTTGGTTTTTTTTTTTTCGGTTTCAGGACAACCAGGAGGTTATGGTGGCGGTCCACCAATAATGAATCAACCAGGTCCTCAACTTGGAGGAGGTACGAATCATAATTAATTATTTTCATTTCGGGAAAAATTTTATTTAAAAAAAAAATCACGGTAATCGATTATGATGATGATAGGATTTGACCTTGAAAATTATAATGATTTAATAAGAGAAAATGTATCATAAGATTAAATTCGACAAAGGTTGTCGGTTTGTCTGTCGAAACGAGAGTTTGTCCTGTTGTTTGTCTCGGACACTCACTCTTACCATTTGCTGTCGTTTAAAAATTCAAATTCGCGAGTCGAAAGGTTACTACTTTGTTATTAATTTATCTCTTTTCTACACTCTACGAATCGTTTGTTTGTTTGTACATGTTTGTATCGTGTTTGTTCGTTTGTTGGCACGAGTTGAAACAATTTTTTTTTTTCGATTTGTTCGCCGACTGTTTGAAGTTTGTTTCGTTTGAAATGTTTTTGAAAATTTCTTGAATCCGTTTGTTTTTAATAGATTGATTTAACTTTCCTGCGGTCGTGGTAGCAATAATAATAATAATAGTAGTAATAATAATAATAATAATTAGAGAAAAGTTAATTAAGAGAAAAAAATAATTTTGTTTCGTGTTGTCTGTTTGTATAATACCGCGGGGTGGTTTAGCCATAACGATTGATAACGAGGTTTTTTTTGTTTATTATTATTATTATTATTGTTGTTGTGGTTGTTGTTGTGGTTGTTGTTGTTTTCCCGAATCGAAAATTTCATTTAAAAAAATAAAATAATAAAATTTTTTTTTATTGTGTTTGTGTTTGTTTTCGTCTGTCGATGAATTAGATTTTTATTTTTCGTTTAATTAAGAAAAAAAAAATAAATATCATTAATTATTAATTATATTTTAAATTTTTATTGGTTGTTGGTTGTTGTTTGTCTTTTTGATAATAAATTTGTAGGTTTGAAAAATGTTTTTATAATCAGTCGAGTTTGTACGAGGGAGAGAGAGAGAGGATGAGTGGATTTTAAAGAAAAAAGTGATTTTTTTTTTTTTCCCCTCTATAGTAAAACGAATTTTTGTTTGTTTGCGTTTGTTGATAGTTTTTTGATTGTACAATTTATATATCGTATCATTTTTACCTCCCGTTTCGCCGCGCCTACGGAAAAATTTTTCAAAAAATTTAATCGTTTGTCTCATTATCTTATTATTTTTAAAAATTGGTTGTCGTGATAACGACGACGACGACGAGTTAGTGTTATTATGTTGTTGTTGTTGTTTGTTGCACGATGATAATGATGACTTTTCTAGTTAAATTTTCATGTTTGAATGTTTAAAGAAGAAGATGATGATGAGGATAGTTCGACACGATGAGAAATAATAATTAAAGAAAAAAAAGTTCGGGGAAAAGTTTTCGGGATTTTTCATTTCCGGTTTCAACGCCGTCAAATGTTTTTTTTTTTTTTTTTTTTGTCCCGCGAATAATCATCAAAACATGGAAAACGGTGACGTGAGAGAAGTTGAAAAATATTTGGAAAAAAATGTGAAAAAAAAAGAATCGAAAAAATTAAAAAAATACGTTTGTAAGAAAAAGAAAAACGTCGTATTGGCGTGCGCGTCCGTCATAAAATTCGTTAAAAAAATTCCGGAACGTTGGAAATTTAAAAAAATCGGGTTCGGCTATGAGAAATTTTTATCAGACGAAGATAAAATGTGAGTTTTTAAAAAAAATAATGAAAACAAATAGAAAAAAAGTCACGTGATACTAATCGGAAAATGATTTGGATTGGAAAAGAAAATTTTCTTTTTTTTTTTTTTTTTGTATTTTTCAGGAGATTGGATGAGTATGCCGCAAGGGCCTCCCAATTGTCCTCCTGGTCTAGAGTACTTGATGTCTCTGTCCAACCTATTTGTTAAACAAAAAGTGGAATTTTTAGAAGCCATAACAGGTGAGATTTGTTATTAAAAGGAAAAGAAAAGGGGATCATCGGGGATTTTTTTTTTTATAAAGGAAATTCCCGGTGAAACGGAAAATTTTGTTTCCACAGGCTCGATGCGACCCTCGAAACGTTCGTCGCCATCATTAAAAACGATGATAGCGAGAGAGAAAGAGAGAGAGAAAAATTTTTTTTATTTATTTTTAATTTGATGTTTGTCCTTGTTTATCACCATCATTATTATTATTAAACAAATATTGAATTTATCATTATTATCATTTTATTCTGTCTCTCTCTGTCTCGCTTCGAACAGTTCAGGATTTTATGTTGAAAACTTATCGAATATTTTATTCACTTTGTTATTATTATTATTATTAATTTTTTGTTTGTCGTTTGTTGTTTGCTGTTGTTGGAACAGGTTACGAAACGAATAATAAATTTACGATAAAAAACGAGAGAGGAGAGAAATTTTATTGGGCGGTTGAAGAGTCGGATTTGTGTTCGAGACAGTGTTTGGGTCAGGTACGACCCTTCGAAATGAGAATAATGGATTCTTATCAAAATGAAGTCATACATTTGAACAGGCCGTTGAATTGCGGCGTCTGCTGTTTTCCATGTTGCCTTCAGGTATGGTTTGCTGCTGCTTTGCTGCTTTTCTTCCTTCCTGTTTGCGACTGTTTCCGCATTAACGATGACATTTCCTTTTCATGTACATCAACGTTTGTAGAAAATGGAAGTTTGTGCACCGCCTGGTAACCTCATAGGAACTGTTGAACAAGAATGGTCGTTCCTCACCCCGAAATTTAAGATAAAAGATTGGAACGGGGAGACGGTTTTGAGAATCGAGGGGCCCTGTTGTAACATTGCACTATGCGGACAATCCGAATTTCAAGTACGTCATCACCACTACTTATTATTATTATTATGATTGATTGATTGATTGATTGATTGTTTCTCTGCGAATAGATTTTATCGAGGGATGGTCAAGTTCAAGTTGGTAAAATAAGTAAGGAATGGTCGGGATTCGCGAGAGAATTATTCACGGATGCGGATTATTTCGGCATATCTTTCCCATTGGATTTGGATGTTAAAATGAAAGCCGTCATGTTGGGAGCACTGTTTCTAATTGTGAGTTTCCCTCCTCTTCCTTCTCTTTTCAATGTTGTCTTCCCTTTTTATTATTCATCATTGAAATTTATTTGTTTTGTTTTCAGGACGCCATGTATTTCGAAAACAACAAAGGTTTAAATTAAAAAAATGGAGGGAAAAAAGGAAAAGTGAAGGAATTAAAAACATTTATTTTCTAAGGTTGTGATGATGATAATGATGATGATGAGGATAGTGATGGCAATGGCGACGCTTATAATAATAATAATAATAATAATAGTTTCTTTTTAATTAAAATTTATCAAATCGCCAAAATGGCCGCTAAACGTTCGTAAAAATTTTATTAATTAATTATTAATCCGTAACGGGAAAATCTTTTGGGATTTATTAATTTTATTAATTTTATTTTATTTTATTATTAATTTTATTTAAAATGTCGGCGAAGGTAAATAATAACTTTTAATAATAATAATAATAATAATAATAATAATAATAATAATTAATTTCAAATTTTATGAAATTTTACTCACCGACGGAAATATTATTATTATTTATATATTTATTTTTTTGTTTAACTTACTAATTGTAATTATTATTATTGTTATTATTATTATTATTATTATTTAATTAATTAATTAATTTGATTTGATTTGATTCGTTTCGTTTTGTTTTGCTTATTCGAGGTGCCATTTTTTTAGGAGAAAAGCAAAAAATTATTAAATTTGTTTTATTATTAATAAGTTTTTATTATTTACGTCACAAAGATCAATCAGTCAATCAAGGAATGAATGAATCGAACCGTGGATTCTTTGGAGGAGAGAGAGAGTGCTTTGAAAATAACGAGGAAAAGCACACAAAATGATCGTTTTTCTCTCTCTCTCTTTCTCTCTCTCACTCTCTCTTTTATTCATTTTTTTAAAATGCTTTTTAATGTATATATTATTATTATTATTTTATTTTGATAGTTTAATATAATTATTTGTTATTTAACGTCGGTTATTCGGACGTGTATGTATTGGCGATCTTTTAAATGTTTCCAAAAGGAAAAAAAAAAAAAACAATTTTAATAATAATAATAATAATAATAAATTGTCACCATTTTGTAAAAATTTTAACCAAAAATTTTAACCAAAGCTTTTTTTTGTTTTTTTTTAAACTAATTTTTAATGTCGTTATTATTATTATTATTTATTTATTTATTTGACTGCTTATATTTTAACTCTCTTATATATATATATATATATATATATATATATATATATATATATATATATATATATTAATTAATTTTTGTTTTAAAAAAAAATTGTTTCAAATTTTATTTTTTAATATTTGTAAAAAGAAAAGCAAGCAAAAAAATATTAATAATAATAATTATTGTAATTAATTTTGTTTAAAAATAAATATTTTTGATGTAAATGTTTTACGTAAATTGGGATTTATTAATTTTTTTTTTTTTGTCTTTTTACATTTATTTATAATAAATGTTTTTTTTTTTTTTGCGTTAAAAAATTACGAATTTGTTGCAAAAAAAAAAAGGAAAATGATAATGAAATGGGAAGTGATAATTTTTGTAAATAATTAGCGTGAGTTAAATAATTAAACGTTTGCCATTTTTTTTTTTTTTTTTTTTGGTTTTTTTTTAATCGAATTGTTTTGAATTATAAATGTTTTTAAGGTTTCAAGGTTTATTTTTTGTTTTACGATTGAAATTATTTGAAAAAAAAAAATAATATATTTTAGTAGGTTTGTTTTGTTTTTGTGAGACTACGTTTTGAAAAATTTTTTAATTTACGTCTATGGTTTGACAAGAGAGAAAAGATTTTTAACGTGGCATTAATAAAAAAAGGAAGGGAAAATTCGAACACGTTTAATCCGTTGATTTTTCGAACACATTGAACGCAGTAAAGTAAAATGACGGTCTTGATTACATCACAGTGTCAATGTTACAATAAAATTACGGATTTACATATTATAGGAAAAAAAAAAAATGGGTTGAATCACATTATATTATACGGATTAATTTTATATTAAAAAAAAAAGTTTTTTTTTTTATAGAAAATATGTGTATATATATGTGTGATGATGTGTTTTAAGTGAAAAAAAAAAAAAAAAGAAAAATGACGAGCGATAAAATAAAAGTGGCTGTACGGGTTCGACCGTTCAATAGAAGAGGTGAGTGTCATATTATTTTCCCTTATCTCTCTTCTTATCTTATGATATTTTCCATTTTCTTTTGTCCCTAACGATTTATAATTGAAAAATCATTATGAAAATGATGAAACCCATTTAAATAATGTTTAAAGTGTGTAAAAAGTCATTTAAATACGAATCGCAAAATAAATTTTTTGCAAAAAATTTCCAAAAAAAATGTCTGCCATTTTGTGCTTCAAAAAGAAAATTGAAACATTCTTATGAAATTCACAAATTAATTTATATTTCTTTGATGTATTTAGGTGGTTTTTTTTTTTATTGAATTGTATTTTAAATCATTTAAATTGACAGGAAGTCTTTTTTTTTTTTTTTTTCAAAAAAAAATTAAACTTTCTTACAATTGTCAATATGAATCATTAGACTTGTAGGTAATCATTTCAATTTGTTCTTTTTTATGTAAAAATGAGAAAATTAGTTGGAAATAAAATATTTTTTCTTTTTTAAACATATTGTTGGCATAAAATGATTAATTAAAACACAAAATATGTATAAAAAAAAAGTATCATTCGAGTAGATATTTATAAGTATAATCATATACATATTATGAACTTTAGATAAAACCGACAAATTTTTGTTTGTCGTTTCATTTACATTTCTTTTTTTTTACAAAACAAAATAAAATAAAGAATAAACTAGCAGTAAAACATTAAAATTTTAGTTAAAATTTTAGTCAAAATTAGTTTTGAAAAGTTAAATAATATTTAAAAAAAAGGACAAATCGAATTTATGTTTTTATTTATTAAAATTTTTCCTTTCGATAATCTCTCTCCACTCTCGATTCTTAACAAAATTAATTTCAGAGTTTGAATTATTTCTTTGTAAAACAACAAATTGAATAAATTTTGAAAAATGACAAACAACAACAACAACAACAACACATTTACTAAAAGATTAATAAGAAAAAATTAAACTCGATTAAAAAGCAGAAGAAATGTTTGTGTGTTTGTTCGAAATTGATTTAAAAGAAAATAATTATAACGAATAAAACATTTTTCCATTTTCATTTTATAAAAACTTCAGGTTGGTTATACTGCATTGAAATTATCAAAAAGACCTTCAAAGACTAAAAAAAAAAAAAAAGAAAAATTTGTTACAATATTTTATCCTAAATATTTTTCAAGTGTTGAGTCACTAAACGAAAAAAATCTACTTATGTGTTTCGTTTCATGCAGCATAAAATATATTTTAATTATGGCTTTTTTTTTTTTTTTATGTATGTATTCATGTATGCTGATGTTACATAATTTTTTTTAAAACTCTTCTTAAGTAAATATAATATAGGTAAAACACAACATTATCATCATCGTGATAATAATAATAATAATTTTTTTTACATGTGTATAAATTTGCAAAAGGATATGAAATGAAATAAGTAAAAAAAAAATTGCAAATATATTTTGTTTAATTACGTTTTTAAAACTTTGACCCCCCCCTTTTAATTTTTCTTCTTGTAATTCGTACCTGGAAAATATTCGAATAAATTTTTTTAAAAAACGAGAAATAATTTTATTTTTATCACACGATATAAACAAATGAGAGAGAGAGAGAGAGAGAGAGAGAGAAACAATAATAATAATAATATTATTTTGTTGACGTCGTCAACTTTTTATTCAAAGGTAAAGAAAAAAAAATAATAATAAAAAATTCACACAACTTGAATGACAATTATTATTATCATTATTATTATCATCATCATCATCATCATCATCATTATTATTATTATTATTATTATTATTATTATTATTATTATTATTATTATTATTATTAAACAGAGTAAAAAAAAGAATGGACGAGTTGATGACCTAAAAATAAATAATAATATTTTTCAAATGGAAAAATAAACATTTATGTATTTAGTCGGTCAACTTCATTTCAATTTCATGCACTTTCACACACACACACACGCACACACACAAACACAAACACATACAAACATTACAAACACACGCACGCACACATACAAACACAAACACAATCACAAACACGAAAAAGAAGTAGAAGAAGAACAAAAAAAAACTACTTGGAAGACTTTTTTTTTTTTTTTTTTTTTTTTTTAGCACGTTTGCTTGAAAATAATTTTTTTTTTTTTTTTTGGTTACTGTTAATTAACAGTCGGATTTCAAATAAACGATTATTATTATTATTATTATTATTATTACTATTGTTGTTGCTGTTGTTGCAGTTTTTTTTGACTTATTTGCGAACAATGATTTAAATTTATGTTAAAATTTTAAAAACCGAAGAATAATTACGAGTTAATTTCATAAGAAAATTGTAATTATTATTATTATTATTATTATTATTATTATTATTATTATTATTATTATTATTATTATTTGGATTGTTAGTCTGCGGTGGGTAGATTTAAGTAGGTAGAAAATCTGATGGGTTTTATTTAATAAAGGGGGGGAGGGGAAACGCGAATATACACACCCACGTGATCTTCTCACACGATGAGATTTTTCTAGAAAAAACGGGAAAAATAATAATAATAAACTGGTCGAACGATGATGATGATGACGTCATTTCGTTTAGATTTTATTATTATTATTTTTTTTGTCGTCAAAGGGAAAATTTAAAATCCCTCCTTCCTCACACCTTTTTTTTTGTCTTCTCCTTTGATTTCCTTCCTTTTTTCCTTTCCCCTAGACAAGTAAAAGTTTTCGTCGTTTGTCGAATTTTTTTATGTGAAAACGTGAGAATGGCGAGTTTTCTTACTCCCGACTTTTCTTTCTTTTTTTTTTGCGTATCCGGAGAAAGTTAAGTGCACGAATGCTATCGTCGTGCGTGAATGTGCGTAGAAGATTATCAATGAGTAATCAACCTTTGTCATCGTTGCAGTAACGAATGTGCGTGCGTGCGTGCGATTAAAAGAAAAGTAAAGAACGCAGACGTGTGTGGTGGCTCTTGCTACGCGTTCGATACTCTCTCTCTCTCTCTCTCTCTCTCTTCGGTTGGCCAATGAGTGCAATCGAAAAAGAAAGAAAAAGTTACGCGGATTGCACATAAATTGACTCACATTCGTGTGCAAAAATAAAATTTGCACGCACGCACGCACGAACGAACGCACTCTCACACACATATTCATGCATTAGAAAATTTCTGATTCTTGGAAAAAATGAAGAAAGTATAAAGAGGAAAGGAGGAAAATGGTGGGAAAAGGAGAAGGGGGAGGTGGGAAAGGAGGGTTTTGCATATGAAGTACACGTTGGCGGTGGTGGTGGTGGTGGTGGGGACGTTGATGGTGGTAAATTTTAAAAAATTCTGTAATAAAAAGAAAAAACAGAATTTTATTCAAGTTTCAAGATGTTTCCCGTTATACGTTTCTAATTGATATAAATTTATTAATATTATTATTATTATTATTATTATTATTATTATTATTATTATTATTATTGTGCAGTTTCTGAATGTGTTTTAACACCCTCACGCACGCACCCATGCACGTGTATATGTTTTCCTGTATACATTTCGCCATTTTTTTTCTTTTTTTTTATTTAAGTCATCCGCGCGTTTGTGTGTTTGTAATTGTTACTTAAGCCCCCCTTCCCTCCCCCGTCATCGATCTCGATTTGCTTCGTTAAACATTTAAAAAAAAAAAAAAATTGATTTGTTAATGAATTTCATTAACTTTTTATTAATAAAACATTCCGGTGGATTTTATTTAGTTTTTTGTGCGAGAAGAAAAAATAAATAAATAAATAAAAGAAGAATTTATTTATTTATTTCCAGGCTGTTGAACTTTCTCTCCATTAAACGAAAAAGAAAAAATTTTTTTTTTTCCCCCCCGAGTATTAAAAACGTTCGGTTTAATTATTATTATTATTATTATTATTATTATTATTAATTTTTAAGAGAAAAAAGAGAAAAAACTCTTTAATCTTTGTTTTCCGTCGTCGCGTTTTAAAAATAGAAAAAAAAAAGAAAAAAAAAAAAATTAAACAGGAATCCGATGGAAAAATAAAATTGTTTAAAGGTTTAAAAGGAAGTATAAAGCACTCGTCCCCCCTCTCCCCCACAAAAGAAAAAAAAGAAAAAAAACACTTTTGATTTTTTTTTTTTTTTTTTTTTGCTCCCATTCGAAAGATAAAAAGACGATAAAATTTAAAAAAAGAAACAAATCATTATTATCGTTATTATCATTTTTACTGTAAAAATCTATTAAGGAAAAGAAAAGAAAATTTTGTTCACAAAAATAGACATAAATTAAAAAAAAGCTTCGAAATTGAAAGAGGGAGGGAGGGAGGGGGCGGAGTGAGGGGGGAAAGAAAAGAATTTTTCTCTTCCTTCCCCCAAAAAGAAAAGCCGTGATTTCGTAATTCTCGAATTTTGCGGTTAAAAAAAAAATGAAAATATTTATTGTCTGAACGGGGAGTGATTAGGTTGGCAAAACTGACCACCGCAGTCATCACCATCATCGTCATCATTATCATTATCATTATCACCGTCATCATCGTCATCATCAAAGTTTTTATTTTTTATTCATCGCCTGAACTATTAATATGAAAAAAAAAAAATAATAAAAAATAAAAAAAAACGTTAGCATTGAATGAAAGAGAGAGAGAGAAAATGAAAGAGAGAGAATGGAAGAGAGAGAGAGGGAGAGAAAGAATGGAAGAAGGAGAGAGAGAGAGAGAGAGAGAGAGATACGATATCGAAGGCAACATACAAGTTTCTTATTTTGGTATTTACATAATCATATGACTGCCCATAGATTTATGTGCTGACTGACTTGTTGTTGTTGTTGTTATTGGAAAAAAATAAAAAAGGTGGAGGAGGATGTAAGTAAGGTAAAGGGGAGAGAGAGAGAGGGAGAGGGAGGGAGAGAGGTAGAGAGAGAACTCAGCTGTTTTTTTTCGAATGTTAAAAAATTGAATTTTATATTAAAAAATAAAAAAGAGAGAGAGAGAAAGAAAACTTTTTCCCAAACGGGACGCCTACGTATTTTCTTTCGTAAATTATTAAAATGATTTAGTTAACTTTTTTTTTTTTTTTTTTTTTACTATTATTGATTTTTGTGGGGGGAAAATATTCGTAGACGAATAATAATAATAATTATTATTATTATTAACGTTTTTTCGGATTTCTTTTTTTTTTCGATTTTCGAATTAAATAATTATTAATAATATTAATAATGATAATGGTTTATTCGTTTAACACTCGACATTTTATTCGTAGAGATATTATTTTTAAAATCCTCTCGCGATGTTTATCCGTTTCTTTTTGTTGTTATTATTATTATTATTATTATTATTATCATTATCGTTATCATTATTATTATTATTATTTTATTATTTACATCGCATTTAAAAATTTAGTGGGTAACGTCTTATTCGGATCGATTTTGTTAAAAAAAAAAAATTTGAATTAAAATGTTTTCCCGGTGTTTCCGTTTCTTCTTTATTTCCCTTTCCGCCATTTTGAATCCTTCCCCCCCTCTTTTGCTTCCCCTAAAAACGAAATAACGTCTTAATTGTAACAAAAATAATAATAATAATCTCTCGGGTCTGTCCAGTTTTTTTTTTCTTTCTTTCTCTCTTCGTTTAAAAGGAATTCCGTGTAAAATGTATATTACTGGTTTGTTTGTTGATTTGCTACCGTTAAAAATCTCTCTCTCTCTCTCTCTCTCTCTATTTGTATCTCTATCTTTTTCTTTCTTTCAATCTCATTCTCTCCGCTTTTATTTTTATTATTATTATTTTTTATTCTTCTTCTTCCTTTTAGTAATAAAAAAGATTTAATAAGTTATAATTTTCAATTGTGTTCCGGAGATGTATAATTGATGACGAGGGATGACATAAATTTTTCTCTCTCTCTCTCTTTCTATCTCTCTTTTTCTCTCTCTCTCTTTCTATCTCTCTTTTTCTCTCTCTCTTTTTCTTCTCTCTCTCTCTTTTTTTAATTATAAAAGTTTATTATTATAATTACACAATGTTGCGAGATGATTTTCTTTTCGACGATCTTTTTTTTTTTTCTAACGTCTCTCTCTCTCTCTCTCTCTCTCTCTCTGACTCACACGAAATAAAAAATTTAATTGAATAATGATAATGATAATAATGATAATAATAATAATAATAATAATAATAATAATTTATTTATTTAACCGTGGTGGTGTAAGCACACGATCATTCGTTTTATAGTTTAAAAAGCCGCCTCTCTACCTCTTTCTCTCTCACTCACTCACACTCTCTCTTTCTCTCTTTTACTTTTTCATGCGTTTACACGCTAATTCAAACACACGCACGCACACACACACACACACACACACAAACGTAAATCGAATGGCAATGACCTCACTTATTTTTATTTACATTAATAATTTTTTTTTTATGTATTTAAAACTCTCTCACGTCTTGTGTTTAACTTATCGACTTCTTTCACGACTTTCTTTCACTCTCTCTCTCTCTCTCTCTCTCTTTATCGGTATTTATGCCCTCTTTACTCTCTTTTTTTTCTTTTTTTTTTGGCCGATTCGTTTTTCGTTTCATTGAACGAACCTGTGACACACGAAAGCTAACGGGGGGGGGAGGGGGAACAATGACAGGAAATTTATTTATTTTGTTATTTCATTCACATCCCAAAAGTTTTTTTTTTCAAAAGATTCACACACACACACATATAGACACAGACATAATGAGGTCAAGGGTTGAAATTTTACAGTAGTTAAATAAATTAACTTTTTCCCTTTTTTTTCCTGTCCCCCCACCCCCGCCCCGCTTTTATTTCCCTTTCGACTAATTCAATAATCGTTATTACGTACGACGGACGGTTTTATCGATGAAAATTCGAAGGTCGGTTGCTTTTTTTTTTTTTTCGAAAACAGAATTAAGTTTGCTGTCGTCGTCTGCTTTTTTTTGTTTTTCTTTTTCTTTCTTTTTCTACATTAAAAATTATCAGGTTTTTTTCGACGCGAACATGATTTTCTTGTACAAACATAACTGAAAATGATGACTGTAAACTGAATGACTGACTGACTGACTGACTGACTGACACTGATTACGCCGAGTTGTTTCGTCACGAACTTTCTTTCTATTCACGATTGTATTTTTTAAATAAAATGTGGTGCGTGTGTGTAAGTACGTGCGTGCGTGCGTGCGTGCGTGAGCGAGTGTGATTTGTGACATTATAACAAATAAATAAAGACAAAGTCACCGAGGTCAACCTTCACCTTGTTTTAAATGAGTGAGTGAGAGAGAGAGGGAGAGAGAAAGACAAGAATTAACACTTTGAATCGACAAAATAAAAAAGTTTATGATGAAAAATGGCAAAAAGTTTTTTTTTTTTTTTTTTTGTTGATTGACATGGCTGCCAATCGATCGATCGACGCGGCTTTAATTTTAATGCTCTTATAAAGAAACCTTTTTTGTACTTTCCCCCACCCCCCAAAAAAAAGGAAAAAATCTCGTGGAATTAAAGTTTTTAACGAATTTTTTCGCGGGTGAAATGACTGAAAATTTTTTTTTTTTTTTTTTTTTTTTTTTTGATGATTGATGTACATATAATTTTCTTTTGAACGGTTTCGGTTTTAACCGCATAAACAAAAAAAAAAAAAAAAAAAAGTTTCTACTGCTTCTGACGTATTTTTTTACTTTATGAAAAACGAAAGTCGTAGTTTTTCCTTTTTTTTTTTTCCAACAACAACAAAAAAAATAAATAATAAAATGAAACGACGATAAATTCGTTTAAAATTTTTAGTCGTGACGTACGTATATATATGGTTTTCCCCTAGAAAATGTCGGAAAATTTCCCCCCCCCTTCCCCTCCGAATATTCACCTTTTCACAAAACTCGAATTTCAAAATAAGGGCCGTTTCGATTTTTTTAAAAGAAAATTAAGGGTTTGATTATCGATCATTTAAATTTTAAAATCACCGCCGTACGACGATTAGATTTTCGTGGAAGTAGAGTTTTAGAGTTGATTTAGAGAGTTCGTGGAGTTAGAATTATTCTTTACTACGTAGGGGCGCGAATGAATGTTTTTATTTTTTTATCATTTCCGGACGAGAGTCGTCTGATTTTTTTTTTTTTTACACTTGACATTGATAATTGATTTTTCGGCCTTTTATTAAATACCGGGTGACCTTCTCGAAAAACACGATGGGGGGGAGGGAAGGGGAACCGTTTGTGTGTGTGTATGTTTCGCAACGAGTAGTTGTTGTTGTTGTTGTTGGCCGAAATTGTGTAACAAACACACGCACGCACGCACGCATGCTTTCATCGAAAAAATATGTGTTATTACGATATGTGATTTATAAAAGAATAAGAAAAGGGAAAATGGCGTATATACTTTATGGATTCCAGTTCGACTGGAAATCCGGATTTGAGAAAAATCTCTCGATGATTTTTCCTTTTCTCTTTCTCTCTCTTTCTCTCTCTGATGAATTTAATTTTTTTTTTTTTATAATTCGAATTTTTCATTGTTGTCGTCATCATCAATATATGAAATACTTGAAGAAATAATCTTTTATTTTTATTTTTTATTTTTCTTTTTTTCCAGAATTGGAACTGGGAGCTCAAGGCGTGGTCGAAATGGAACAAAACCAAACCGTCCTTCACCATCCATCTCATGATAAAATCGAAAGGTTAGTCAGTCAGTATTTGTCTCATCGATTTTGTTTTTACTTTTTTTTATTTTTTTTTTATTGGATTTCGAAATAAGTGATGCGAATAATCTGTTGATTCTTCTTCCTCTTCCTCTTCTTCCTCTTCTTCTTCCCCTTTCACGTTTATCATCGAATCATTTTCTTCCTTTTCCTTCCTTCTTGACTTTTCCAGTCTCTCTTTCTCACTCTCGCCCCCCGTATAAAAATTTATGTACGTGGATATTTACTAGGCGCCTTAACCGGCGAAGAAAGAATTTTTAGAATTTTAAACGAAGGCAGAAAGAATGAGAGAGAGAGAACGGGGGGAGGGAGGGGAGGGGGGGACACAAACACAGATATGACACACGAAGAAGACGAGTGACTCCCGTCATTTGGGTGCCATTTTTTTTTGCTCTCGAGTTAACGCCATTAACAAATAACTTTTCGGTTTAATTTTAAATTTTTTTTTCTTTTTTTTTTCGTACAAAACAAAACCATTTTTTCTTTACGCGGGGGGAGGGGAGGAAAGCAGAAAACAATGAGTTAACCGACCGGTGCCCGCATTAATTAAGGCCGTGAACTACTTTTTGTTTAATTGAATAAAATACGATTTAAACAAAGATTGCAAAAAAAATAAAATTAATTTGTTTGCGATAGAATTGCATAATTTATTATTATTATTATTATTATTTACGTAATAACAAAGATGGCAGAAACAGTTCGGAAATATGTTTTTTTTTTTTTTTTCGAATCGAGTAATGTTTGTTTGTTTTATGTTGGGATCGTCCGAAGGTTTCGTTTACGTTTGTTGCCGTTTGTTTGTTTGTTTACGGACGACGAAATAATCCGCAGTAGAATTTACTCGAAACGACGACGAAAGGTTCCTTCCTTTCTTATTTATAAACGGAAAAGGATACAATAGGACCTTTCACGAGAAAACAAAGACGTGGGGGGGGGGGAGAGAGAGAAAAAAACTATTAATAACGAAGAATAATAATAATAATAACGGGGGTATAAAAAAAAAGAAAGAAAAATTCGCAGAGAGAACTTTTTCGCATTTGTCGTGTGATAAGACAAAAGAGAGGATTAATAAATAATAAATAAAACTGAAATAATAATAATAATAATGATGATGATGATGATGATGTTGATAATGATGATGATAATGATGATGATGAAGATGATGATGATGATGATGATGATGATGATGATGATAAACGGTGTAAAGTTTTAAGTTTTTTTTTAACATTCGAAATGTTTGCTTTTTTAACTGGACTTTTCACCACGGATTTCTTTGTTAGAAAATTTTCGAAACGCGGACCTCCTCCCTCCGTACCTCCCTTCCCTCCACCCCCTTCGCTTTTCTTTTTTTTAATTATTCACCGTATTTCGTTTTTTTTTTTTTTTAAATAAAATAAAAATAATGAAGTTAATAATCCTCCGAGTGGAACGCGCGTGCCTAGAAATTATAATTTTTTTTATAAATAGCTACCAAATGCAAATTTTATTATTATTATCACCATCATTATTATTATTATTATTAGTATTTTTTATTTATTTAGCGACATTTATTTAATTTAAGTAACGGTCAATGAATGGAGTAAACGAAGGGGGGGAGAAAAAAAAAATCATAATATTTATTTTTGAAACGAATTTTCCGTGCGTGAATTTTCTTCGTGCACGAGTGTTTGCGTTTGTTTTCGTTTGTTTGCGTTTGCATTTGTTTTATCGTATTTATCTATTTAAATTTTAAAAAGTAAAAACTTTTTTTTGTTTTTGGCTAACGAGTGAAGGGCATGTGATGAGAAAGTTTTTAGAGAAAACAAAATTTGTGACGAAAATCTTTTTATAAAAAAGAGAATAAATTTTTTAAAAAATCCGCGGTCACGAATAATTCATGTGGGGGGGGGGTAGGGAGGTATTTCACTGTGAATTTCCGTAAATTTTCCCCGCCCCCCTCCTCTCAATTATCATCATCATCAATATTGTAAATTCTTTCGTGTGTTTCGGATTTGCATCCGAATGCGTTTTTGTTTTAATTTTTAAAGGATTGCGATTCATCATTTTTATTTACCTTGAATTTACTCACACCTGACGCAAGATTAATTTTTTAATTATTTTATAATTAAAAAAAAAAAAAAAATTCAATTCGAGATTTGTTGGTGCCACGAAACTTTTTTTTTTTTTTTTAAATCTTTTATTTTTTTCGGGATTGTATTGTTAACCACGTAAAAAACAAAACATGGCGATCACTTCAAGTTGTAGTGTGATAACAAAATTTTTTATCGATTAGAAATTTTTTTTTCCTCTTTCTCTCTCTCTCACTCTCTCCTATTTGCGAAATGAATTGAAAAAAAATCGATTCGGTAGATAGATAGATAGATTTGCCCGAAATGAATTGGTTTATTTATTAATGGATTTCGTTTTTTGTTTTCCTTTATTTTGTGGTAAAAAAAGAGCCTTTTTGAAATTTTTATTTGTTTTGTGTGTGTTTGTGTTTGCGTTGGAAATGTTAAAGGTTAAAATAATTCCACCACGTTTCGAAAATTGTCGAAAAAAAAGGGGAAAAAGGAATTCACGTCGTATTCATTATTATTATTATTATTATTATTATTATAGCTTTTCTGCTGTCAAAATCAATTCCACGATTTCATTGTTATATATATTTTGATGGCCGGCAATTCCCCCCCCCTCCCCTCGCTTTCCCTCCTCGCTCCCCAAAGTTGTTAAAAACATGAACGTTTTAAACGACAAACGTTAACCAACCACTTCTTTCGATCCTTTTCTACCCCTCCCTCTCTCTCTCTCTCTCTCTCACACGTCCAAAGTGTTTTTCGTAATCGATTTTTTTTCTTTTTCTATAACCCGAAATCGGTAGTTTGTTTGATTGGTTTTCCTTTTATTCAAAACTTAAAGTTAAAATAAGGAAACAAACGAACAAACAAACAAACAAACAGGTAGAAAATGCATTCGAGTTCTAAACGTTTATAATTTTTACATGGCTCCCCATCGTAATTATTAAATCGTTTTTTTTTTTCTTTTGCAAATCTTATTAAGGTTAACGTAACGGCTAATTTTGTGAATTTACGACAAAAAAAAAAAAAAAAAAAAAGAAATTTTCTTTTTCTATCTTTTTTTACCTTTTTTTTTAGGTGACCTACTCGTGAAAGAAAATCACAGTTAACGAACTAACTAACTAACTTAACTACTTTGCAAATCTTAAATAGTTAATAATAATAATAATAATAATTTTTCATCTTTGTATAAAAAAAAAAAAAAAAGAAAGTTTTTAGTTTTTTAGAACGAGATTAACGCACGATGTATCATTATTATTATTATTATTATTATTATTATTATTATTATTATCCACCATTAAACACGACAAGGCTACTTGTCGGAGTTTTTAAGTATTTATCCGAGGTTTCTACCCGATTCCTTAGGGACAAATACTCGAATTTCGGTGGTGCCACTTATTATAAAATAGCACCACATCAATTCTTGAAGGTCTTCCTGAGTCCATCTTTATTCGATGGGAACGATTTGTCTCCTGAACTGGGCTCCGGTGACTAACATCTTTGGAGTGGCCAGGGTCAGAAGCAGTGAAATTCACGTTCTCGTCGAGCTGCCTCAGGTCGACAGTAGAACAAGATTTTGTTTTTGGTTCTTACTTTGTCTTGTTCTCATTTTTTTGCTCTTTTAAGCCAACAGCACGTGGCGTTCTCAAACGGTCACCCATCCAAGTT